ATTCATTACTTCCCTTCAACGCAAGAAATCATCAAGGAGAATTAAACAGTATTTATAACCTTGAGTAGATGACATTGGGGATGCACCTCATACATTGGAGTGTATTAAACGTGAAGGAGCATATGTATGTAAATCAGGAAACATAAAGGGTTGTCTATGACCTTTGATGCAATTGCAATTATTACATATAAAAGGATGTATGGTTATATCTAAACTAGGTTGGATCTTGGAGAGTAGCTTGAAAGCATCTGGATGTGGAAGTCCAAGGCGTTTGTGCCTGAGACTCGACTGTTGAGTGTAGGTAGCAAGAGGCAGTTGGGTGTGGAAGTGGAGATCGGGTATAAGCCGTCCGAATTGGTTCCCCGGATTAGAAGTTGCTTTGTCTTTGAATCAATGATAGTAAAGCCGTTTTGGTCAAAAAAGACAGCACCATTATTGTCATGGATCAATTTATGAACATATAAGAGATTATAAGAAAGAAATAGAACATGTCATACGTGAAGTAGAAGGAGCTTACGGTGCCATTGCTACGGATTGGTCGGTACCCACGGTTACCCGTTCGGCTCTTGTCACCTTAGTAGCCAGTAGTAAATGATTAAAATCTGAAAGATGTGTTGTAGAACTCGAGTGCAAGATCCAATTGGAGGTTGTCTTTTGCAAGGCTTGTATGAGAGGAATGTACTTGAGATTGGACAGATGCCAACATGTGGCTGCCAAGTGACCAAACTTCCTGCAGATTTGGCAAGTAACTTGAGGTTTTGATGTGCTTTGACCACCTCTAGAACTGGCATTGTTATGAGTTCTTCCATTGTGCTAGAGGAAACGACCTACCACCCACCTCTAGAACTGGCATTGTTATGAGTTCTTCCACGGCATCGTGCAGGAGGAAACAACCTAACAAGAAATTGTAGGTTTAGAACTCTGGTCTAATTTCTTATTATCACTTGTGATGTTGATCTCTTCACTACAAAAAAGAGAGTAAAAGTCATCTAGAACAATCGCATGTAGTTGGGTACGAATAGCTGCCTTGACACTTTGATAGGTTCCAGGAAGTCTGTTGAGTGTTTAGAGGATAATATATTCTTGATCTAGGTGTCCACCGGCCGCAATGATATTGCCGATGAGAGTCATGACATTGGAGAGACATTGTATCATTGTTTGATTGTTCATCACTAGATGATGGAGCTGATTATTTAGTTGGATCAGTCTCGAGTGGTTCGTCGGCTGCAGGAGTTTGGCAATAGTGAGCCAAATTTCAGTATTGGTAGATAGATGCAGGACTTAAGGTAGTAGTGATGGAGAGATTATGGACTAAAGTGAGGCTGTGAGGTTTTTGTCTATTAAAATCTAGGAAGAATAATTTGGGTTGATCATAGGTGAATCTATCGTTTCTTCTGAAATTTTCGAAGGTCATGTGCTGCTTCCATCCAAAAAACCGAGAAATCCGTTTGCCATGAAGACTTTGAGAACATGTGCCTTCTATATAGAATAGTTGACTGATGACAGCGTGGTTTGGTTAAGATATTTGACGCCCATCACAAATTTAAGAGAGGGAGGGCTAGAAATGTTACGGTTCAGATCCATGAAAGTGGAGCTATGGTTTTCTGCTGTCTGGGAGATGGAAATTTTCCAAGAGGCGATTTCACCTAGAGAAACTTACCGGAGAAGAAGATTGTGGAGGCTCGAATAAGCTTCAGCGGTGTGCTCTGATACCATAAGAACTAATGGAAAGCCAAAGCAGCCACAATAAGAGCATGCGTAAGGAAGAGAGGAGGAAGAAGAAAACCTGAAAATGTTTCGATCCTCAGATCACAGCGATAGTAACCGACTCCCCATCTAGGTAAAGGGGAAGATTCCAGAAATGAAAATTACATGGTTTATACTGATTTTTGCTCGAGCGAAAACAGGGAGGTTAACTGTTTAGTTTTATGTTTAACTTTTGTTATATTTTATTTTACATTTTTAGGGTGGGCTTGTTCTTATTGGAGTATACAAGCAACGCTAGCATGGCCGCGAACATGAATGGGGTTGTGGCTTAGTCAAAAGGTGACATGGGGTTTTGCATTTTTTTTTTATTATTATATTTTTGTTTTAATTTGCGTTTGGATTTATGTGTCAATTACTAGTCCACAATATGGATGTCCAAACATGGCAAATTTGACATTTTGGATGTGTTCTGACACTCTGTTTTGTGACCAGAAGTCATTCGAGCAAATTTGTCGACGTTCGAAGAGTTTTGAATCAAATTGAGCACATTGTGTCAGTGGTTTGTCGTTTTCATCATGCTTGCTCCATGAAATAAGGTTGTCCAAACATGGCAAATTTGACATTTTGGATGTGTCCTGACACTCCATTTTATGACCAGAAGTCATTCGAACAAATTTGTCGACGTTCGAAGAGTTTTGAATCGAATTGAGCACATCATGTCAGTGGTTTGTCGTTTTCACCATGCTTGCTCCATGAAATAAGGTTATCTATTTTGTAATTGGGCTATGTTTTGGATTGCTTCAAAAGTTTTCAAAGCATTTAAAGGTTGATCGTGTAATGCCTTATTTATCTTTCACTATTCTCATTATTTTCAATTGACTAATTTTGTGAAATAAAGGTGAAGTTCAACAATATGTGAGGAAAAAAATGGTTTGCCATCCAAAAATAATTGGTATACATCTCCTTTTTTTTAAGTTAGCTAATGATACAATTGTCGGTGAACTGTCGAACGATCAAAGGCAGAACAAGTACTATTGTGCATAAAAGAAGAAAGTTTAGAGTCTCTCGGAAGGTTTCACAGAGATAGAATATTTCCAGCAAACCTTTCAAAAAGTGAAATGTCATGGATTTATGGGTCAAATAAAAAAGAAAAAGCTAATTTTGAATGAAATCCGTTTTTTCATAATAGAGATCAGAGCTTGCAATTCCTTCCAAAGAGTAGAAGTGTTTGTTGAACCACATTTTGATATAGAACTATGTGGAGCATTGCACCATTTTGAAAATAAACTGTAGTGTTTCTGTAGCGTCATTTTTTCTTTAAATTTGGAGATGAAATATAAAGGAGCTCAACCACCCATTAACTCTAGCGAGGATTGTTATAGTCGAGATAGTATGTTATTATATATGAGTTTTTGTATCATAGAATAACCTTAATACAACTCTTGTTACAATCTGGTTGGGAACTTTAGAAATATAAGATGGGAACGAGCGGTCGAACAAAAAAATTCAAATCTAAATATTTTTTTCTTACTCCAACAAAAACTTTCTACATGTATATAAATCATCCAAAATATAAAAGGGATAGCTATATTTAATTTATAAAACTGGTTAGATTTAAACTTCTATAGTTGATATAAGAAAAAAACTTAACCATTTTACCAATCTCATGTGGTTTTCATCATCTGAAGACATGATCCCTATTATCCATTTTCTCTAAAGGAGATTTCCCTAAAAAATATTTTGCAACGAAATGATGAGTTAAACAATTAAGTGAGTAAAATACATATAAATTAAAATAATTCATGGATTCAAACATTTATATAAAAAACTAAGTGAATATTCAGGTTTAAAGAACAACTAAAAACAAAATAGTAAAAAAATAATGAATAAATAAGTTTTATTTGTATTTTTATTTATTTCATATAAATCACCTGTCAAATAGAGTACCATTTATATGTGTAATAATAGTACACCTTGCATAATATTTTACATAGCTCACCCAAATGGTAGGTAGTCATTTTCATTTTAATTTCCTTTTAGGTGCATTTGTACATTGCTTCCCAGCTAGTACTATACCGGGGTGTATATGTGATATTTTTTATATTATTGCATTCTTTTATTTAATATTTACATTAAACAATTTAAGCATACAAAAAATATGAAATTTTCATTTCAAAAGAAAATACGAAATAAAAGTAAAAGATGTCTAATTGTATATAAAAATATACTTACAAAATATTTGTATTTGTTGGCTCTTAAATTGTTTTGTGGATCACTCCCAAGAAATAAAGTGTTTGGTCGAATGAATGAAAGAGAAATGAGACACAAGTAATACTTAGTTTTTTAGAATTTTGTTGGGATCCCCTCCCACTGAAAATGATCCTTCTATTTATAAATCATAGGTAATGTATCATAAATTGCACAATTATTCCCCCCATTTAATGGAAATGTTACTATAATTTATATTCTATTACACTTTTAAATGTTTTTAACTGAATATTACATGTTTTGGAATGTAACTGTCATTGGATTCGTTCTACATCATTAAATGCTCTTGACCCTACTTAAATTCGTTCTACATCATTAAATGCTCTTGACCCTACTTTGATGTAAGGCATGGACATTTGGTATTCATTTGGTCGGCATATAATCACTTGGTCGAATGAGTAATATTTGGCTTATTGAATGTCTTCAGTCGAATGTTGGTCTTTTGTAATGGCAGATGCTGATTAAGAGAGTGTTGTGTGGTAGTGTGGTATTTGTTGGGTTGATCAGTACTTCGTTCATTCAGCTTTATGGGTTAACTAGCAACATGACGAATGTCTGAACACGAATCTTTTTTTATGTGATCCAAAGTGTCTTCTCAAGATTTGTGCAGGCATAGTCCTGAAATACATAATTAGTTCTTTGATTCTCTTACTTATTTGAAAGTAACAACTGTCATAAGAATAATAAAAATAAAT